ACATTAATCACAAAACCTTGGATATGTATCCATACCAAAATCAGTATAATTACTGTTACAAAAACCATGGTTACGCTTTGAACCTCGCTATCTCCTTTTTTAATAGAATTTGGCGAAAAGACAAAACTGCTGTCAAAATAATTTAAAAAAATATTTACTATTACAAGTTTTTTTAAAAATTTATTTATTGTTGCATATGCAGGCTTGAGTGCCCATTAAAAAGCACCCTTTATATGCCCTACTCAAGTTTTAAAAAAATGATCAAATAAAAGAAAAAATTACGAAGATGCATCTATTATAACGTGGAAGTAGATGGTTCGAATGCCACCATGTCCCAGTCTGTATCTGTGTGCTGTCTTTCTCTATCTTATTCTATCTATATATCGACTTGACAAGAGCATATTAACCGAGCTTTATGATGATCACACAAGCATATATATGTGATCGCAACCAGGGCCCGACTTTGCCTAATTGAGGCCCGGGTCAAAAACTTCTTTGGAGGCCCTCCTCTGCTTCACTACTTCAGTAATAAAGAACCGAACTTTATGAAGGTATTTAAATTTTTCACCTCATTATAGATAACATAAAGAGAAAATTTACTAGAACCTAAAATAGGTATAAAGTCTCCCCCCTCCCTCCAATGGTCAGACGAAATATCGTTCTGACCATTTACTTGATTTTCTAACAATTCTATGTCCATCATGCCGAATACAGTTTTCTGATTGTCATCTAGCTGCGAAAAATTCATATCCTTGCTGACAGGGCGGAATTCAGCTAAATTTTCGCAATCACGATGGCTTAATTAAGGCAATCAAAAGCCCGTATTTTTGTAAACATATCACACTTTGCGATATGTAGAAATACAGGCTTTTGATAGGCCAAAATTGTCCATCGTTATTGTGAAAATTTAGCTGAATTCAGAAAGCCACGGATTTACGAAATATAGATTTTTTGTGTTCATGCGATAGAATAATAAAAGAGATTACACAAAACTGACGGATTTTACACTGTACATATATTTTGTTTAAAAAAAGTTCATTAAAAAAGGAAACGTAAAATGAACTTTCTATGCGATTTGGGGGCCCCCTATGATGTGGGGGTCCTGGGAAACTGCCCCGTATGACCCTGCTTTAGTTAAGCTCTGATCGTAGCAATAAATAAATATAAATAGAGGCATCCAGGATTACGATGAAATTTGCTACTCGCTTCCTCTATGCTTCTATTTTAGGATGTATTAACTGTTATAAAGTAGTATTTTATTTACCCTGATGTAGTATTTATCTAGTAATTGTTCCGCTACTGATTTAGTTCAACTTTGTTCAAGTATTTGTACATTTACAAATGCATATTTTTTATAATTTTAAATGTTGATAGATGTTAACTTTCATCTTACATAGGTAAAAAAATAAATGAATAACCGACGAGAAACAAAGTTAACAAGTGCTTGCTAAATGAAATTGAGGTTATAAAAATTAAAAATTTTGCTAAATCTCAAACTTAAAATTAACAATTTTTACTTAAAGTTACCTAATTATACCACCTTTGTTTACCAAACATCATGGTAATAGAACCTCATTGCATTGTTAATTTTACAAAAAGTCATTACCAAAGCGCTTAGGTAAAATTGTTTTTTGGCTTTCCCATGGACCGAAAACACGTTAAATTTGGCCATATTATGGTAGTTGCTTTGACCATGCTTTTTTTTTCTCAGTGTGTCCAAAATAGCTTGAAGGGAAAGCGATATAAAGTTTGTGCCCCTTTATGTTAATTTCAATTTCTGCAAAATCACCATCTCAAAGAAGTATTACTTTTGGATTTTTATTTCTTAAGAATTATTCGACCAAATCCCTTTAAATTTTGGATTTTGTTATTTGAAATTACGTAAATGAAATTAATGTAAAAATTTGTATAACGGAGAGGGAGTGAGTGAGAACATGAGGCTATTATTGACCAATGGAATATTTCAGTTAATGATAATTAAAAATTCCTCTGCAAAAATTGTTAGATTAACAAAACTGTGTTATCCATTCAGAGACAAATCACTAAATTGTAAAATAGCAAACCTATTAACAAATTTTTACTTTCTAACTTTTTTTTAAATTGAAGCTTTAGACTGTTTTTATTTATCGTTTTGACTGTGTGAAATATTAAAAAATTTAAAATATTTAAAAATTAAAAATCATTTTTATTTATGATAATAGTACATTTTACAAGATTTTTATAATACTTTTCTGCCGTAAAGTTTACAAATTGCTTTGATTTATGAGGCAATTACAAAAAAGTATTATGAAACCATCTACATTGAAGTTTAGATTTGAAACAATTTTGTTATTTAAAATCTAGCTTTCATTCTGAAAGTTTCAGACTTAGATAAAACTTATCGAGATTTTACTGTAGTTTTTAGTTTTATAGTCAGAAATTTCGCAGAACTTAGACATGTCGGGAAAACGATATGCTTAAATTCATCAAAATTAAAAACAGTGAGGTGTTCGTGTCATTAATTCAATTGCATAGAATATCCCTATAGATTATGAAACATTTAGATCATTTGGTTAATCGTTAATAAAATATCATTAATAAAACAAATAGATTTGTTTCAAACATTCTATAGTTGAAATAAAAAAAATCGAAATCGGGTTATGATTTAAACTCGAAGCTATTCTAAATACGAATATGTATTTTTATAATTATTTACATTGTTTAGCTTATGGTAGTAATTTATATAAATTATTTTTAGTAACATTATTTTGACTAAAAATAATTTATATAACGAAATCTAACTTTTTTCATTTTGTCTTTATTTAAAGATATGATCTTGTTCAACATTTTACATTTAGTTTGTATATTTACCTCGTAATTTTTATTATCTTTAATAGTGTCGAACAATGCTAATTGATAATATTATTTGAGTTGCAACGAATCGATTTAAGTAATTAAGTGAAGTAATTAGTTGCAGATTATTAGAGAAGAAATGATGTAAATGAAGTGCATTTGCCTTGCTCAAATAATATTTTTATAAATAATTAGTTGCGATCAAAAACTAAATTATTAAAGTAAAGTGTTGATTATTATACCTTTAAAATAAATCATATCAAAATAAATAGTGTGATTTATATATATCAAAAAAAAAGCTGTCATGAAATTATGTTATGTCCAAAATTAGTTTTGAGCATTTGTGTACAATACGTAAAACAACATTCATGTTTTAATTTTTCTTCAAAAAAACACGAATTTTATTTAAAGAAATTAAACAATTATTTTCAAATAAATTTTTCATTAATTTTTAATTTTTAAATAATTATTTGGCAATAATTAGTTAATTATTGCCAGATAATGAAGTGGCGACATCGAAAAACTATGAAGAAAGAGAATGGCAGACAATTTATTCTGCTTTAAAAATGAGCATAATGTTTTGATAGGAGTGTTAAAATGAATTCAATTACTCATATCTTAATCACTTAAATAAAATGAATTCAATTACTCATATCTTAATCAATAAAATATGTTCTAATTTTGTATTTCCCGAAGTAATTAAGAAAATTATTATTATTTTGTAATTAAATTATCCCATACATAAGAAAATTAAGACAATTCAATGAAAAGTATTATAATCAGTACTTATAAAACAAAAAAATCATGCATATGAAAATTAATGGAGCTGCGTTAGTTAGGTAAGATTTTAGGGTAACTTAAATGTGATCAAAGTTTATTTCTATTTACATTGTTGAGTTGCGCTTGATTCCCTTGATAATTTTATAGTAAAGCAAGAATTTTGTGATTTATGTAAAATCAATGAACATCAAAAGTTTGTAAGTTGGGTAAATATAATGTAGTTGCTGTTGTTTCTCATCCCCACTGGTCTAGCGGAGTTAGACCAGGTTCATGAGTCCATTCACCCTTAGGAAATCAAAAAACAAGACCGGGTCGCGCAGAAAATCCTCCTTTTCAAAATCCACACAGCTAAGGAGGTGGGCCGGGCTGGCTGCACTGGTGAAACATTTGTTGCAAGTGGGATAGACTTTTCGCTTCTGTTCATACCTCATGCACTTTATGTGACCACTGAAGTATCTAGTGTGCGCGGTCTGATCACCTCTATTACCTCTGAAGGTCAAAGCACGACCCGGCTTATCCCCAGAGTACCAGATATGTACTGGGGAAGTCTTCCAGACTAGCTGGACACCTTTCTTTCTAATGGAGTGAATTTCCGAGGATGTGAGTGCCAAACTTTCCGGCAGAGGTTCATTTGTGCCAAGTTTTGCCAGCGAGTCAGCGATCTCATTCCCGTATAGACCAATGTGGGACGGAATCAACTGCAAATAAATATCCCGCTTCAAAGAAAGTTTACTGAGAAGTTGTAGGATTGCCGTTCCAGCCCTATCGCCCACTCTGGGCCATGTACTCAAATATTGGATAAAGCTTCTACTATCCGTTAGGATCTAGATAGGGTCTAGCAGCGAATCCTCTTGAATTGCGTGCAGTTCTGCCTCAATAGCAAGAAGCTCCGATCGAAAAACAGAACAAGAATCCGGGTTTCTCATTTTAATGTTGATATCGCCATCAGGTCTCTTGATGTAGACTCCACTTCCAGTACGACTCCGGTCGTCCCTGCTACAATCTGTATAAACACAGAGGCCCTCCTCTGGGATGTTGTTAATTATTTCGAGAGCCAGTTGTAGCAATTCAGGAGCGTCTGAAGTTTTATTTGTGCTTAATGCCAAATCCGGACTAAAGTGTATTCTTAGAAACCCACGTGAGGGGTCAACGCAAGTCTTGAGAATGTTGTTCGACATCCTGGTAGACTGTATTTAGGGAAATTGCACGGGCTATCTCTTCTTAGTCTCTGGTTATTGGTCCAATGTAGGAGGTAGTCAGCTGTTCTGTACTGGGCCCCATAACTAAGTAGTTTACTAAAATATTTCACTAGACAATTCTCTCTTCTCATATTTAATGGCAGAAGGTCTGCTTCAAATAACACAATTTCACCAGTCACCAGGGCAGAAATGTCGCAAACCTGTAATTGTGCGTCCCTCACTCTGTTGAGCTCGTGGGTAAAAATAATAATATTTACATGCTTAATTTGTAACGTGTATTTGTTAAATTTGAGACCTAACTTTGTGACTTACTCCTTATAAATAATGATAATTTAAAGTTTGACTAGATTTAAAAGTTAGTTATTAACAACCTTAAATTATAGTTCTGATATTCGTGGTGGAAACATATAGCATTAATTTCGAATTTTGCAGTGGTAAATAGCTCTTCAAAAGATTACAAAGATTATAAAGGTTATTCAGATTATAGGTAGCGGAATTTGAAATGTTCATTCCAGATTCAAATATCTAAGTTTCTGTTAGACGTAGCATTTTTTTCATATGGTACCTTGCTGATCTGGTGACACTTTTTTATGGTAAAACTTCATTCTAAATGGTCAGGAATTTTTTTACTTTTAAAAAAAAGCGTTTTTTTTGGGGGGGGGACGGCACAAAGAATCCACCTTGAAGTTACTTTGTGTCACTTAATTTGCCGGTTTAACACCGACCTAAACCTTTTTCTGACATAATAGTAAACCTTTTTTTTATCGGGATATATCCACATATTTTTTAAAATGTCTCTTAAAAATTTTTTTTTAATATCTAATAATGAGTTTTAATAAATTTTTTGGGGGAAAGACAAAAATACAAAATAAAAGTATTAAAATGTTTACTATAATTATGAATAATTACATTTTCATTAATTTTATAATTGTCGTTATTATTTGTTTAATTAATGTTGCTTGCTATAATTAGTTTTATTATTTTAATTACATTATTATAATTATATCGATATCATTCATAATAAAACATTCAAATCAACATCGAAACGTTAGTAGTGTCAATATTTTCCTTATGCTTCGTAGAAAAAGAAAAGCGATGGTGAACGTCTAGGACCTGTAACTGGGAAGAGGAGAAAGTGGCGAGTTGCTTTAATTGTTACACAGAGGGAAAAAAATCTGGTAAAATTACCTTACTGCATAATAATGGCATTTCTGGTAAAGAAAAAAAAACATAGTTCTGGTTAATAAAACAAACTATAGGGTATTTAAACCATTCATTTGGTAATTTTTTCTCTCATATGTAACGACTTATCGGAAATTCTGGTTTACAAAATTATAGGTCTTATTGCCACACATTTAATAAAAAATATAAAACTAAGATGTAACTAGGATGTAAATTCCACCGAATAAATGGTTTTTACGCTATGTTCGAAGGTATCATGATATAATTACTAAATTTTAGCCAATTTTATCTCATAATATAAAACCATATTTTACTAATTTTACCAAATTATTACAAAAGCACTTCAGTAAAATTTACCAAGCTTTTTGATGTTCCTAGAGCCAGAAACACTGTAAACTTTACTACATTCAGGTAGTTTGGACCACAATTTTTTCTCAGTTTATCAAGATTTATGAAATATTGTTTCTTATGCATATATTTTATTCTAATTAGAATTCGATGGAATTCTAGCCCGATAAGACTAATAGTTAATTATTTATTAAGGTTTTATTCATAAAAAGTAGTACTAGCATCTACCACTGCTATATAGACAAGCGATCTATTCGACTTTATGTATTGTTTTACGCTAGATATAATGAAATCGAAAATAAATTTGTCGAATCAACAGTTTAGTTAATTATAAAGATTTCATTTATACGAACTACAATTTTCGAATCCTACCTATTTATTAGTCTCTGACATTGCTACACTGACAGATGATGCATTGTTTCTCTTGTACTTTTTTAAGCTAAAATCAAAATTTAATCGAACTAAGAGATAGAATTAGAAGTTCAGTAGAGTTAAATAATATTTTGTATTCTTATGCTTAAAACTCTTATACCTTCAAAACTACGTATTAGCTTTTCCGACTTAATTGTGATTTTGTTATTTATTATAACTCTTGACATGTACCCTTTCACACATAAGACTCTTGTACCTTTGAAACTATGTATTAGTTCTACCGATTTAATTGTAATTTTATTTGATTTAGGTAGGAAAAGTTTAATGAGAAACAATACCTCACTAGTTTATGCCGAAATGTCAAGTGTAATTAAGTATATGCACAAATCACTACTTTTTTTACATAAAATCTTAATGTCTCTTAACTCTGACCACCCACTTGGGATTAATTTCATTTGATTTAGCGTTAAAAAAAATGCATTAAAAACTGTAAGTTATTTGTCAAGATGGCAGTCATTAGAGATCCTCCCTCTTAACCCCTTTTCTTCCCTTACCTGTCACGGTTTACCAAATTGTTATACGGCTATAATTTTATGTATGTTGTCGTATATGCTTTAATCAAATTTAGGAAATACTGTTTTTTAAAAAAAAAACTTTTAGAGTGGCTACTTTGCCTTGCATTTCCCTATATTTTATTCTATTTTCCTTCATGGCAAATTTTATACGCAATTTAAATTTCTTTTGAAATTGGATATAATATTTATAAAGCTTCATTTTATTTTGTTTTAGGTCAAAGTTTGAATGGGCACTTTTTGCTTGATTTTTATCCACATGAATATTTAAATAGCAAGTTGCGTGTCACTGCTGCTACTTTGTGGATACAGCTTCGATATTCACCTACTTTGCCAGTTGAAGCTCGAGCTCAGTTGAGAAACAAGCATGTCACCTTATATGCTTTTCGAGTGGGAAATAGTACAGAACAACTATCCCATGTAACATCCTATCATCAAGGCACCGCACATGCTGGATGGCGTAGGCTTGATGTCGGAGAGGTTGTTCAACAATGGCTTTCAGGAAATGAAAGTCGTGAAAAATTAACATTACTCGTAGACTGCACGGGTTGCAATTCCAAGTTAGAAATGGTGCTTTTTAATGAGGAAGAATCCTCTAATTTTTCAAATTATGCGACAGCTACTGCAACTACTAGAAGAATAAGACATGGGGGACATGATCAACAACTCATAAGTTTAAGACCGTTTTTAGCTGTAGCGACAGAGGCTACTGAACAGAAACGTTCTAGAAGACATTCAAGGACTTGTGGTGAAACTCCGAGTAACTGTTGCAAGAAAAACTTATACGTCAGCTTTAAAGATTTGGGGTGGGGTGATTGGATTATTGCTCCTAAGGGATATTACGCAAATTTTTGCATGGGAAATTGTATTGGCAGAAGGACTTATTCCTCGCATCATAATTTTCATTCTCACATAATAGAGGAATACCGTAATCGCAATCCTTATGCTTCCATACAGCCGTGTTGTGCTCCAACAAAATTATCATCAATGTCTTTAATATATTTTGACGCAGATATGAACATTATAAAAACTGATTTACCAAAAATGATAGTAGATGAATGTGGGTGTATTTGAAATAGAAAAATTTGTAGTTTTTTCCTGAAGCGGGTCTTCGGATTGTATAAGCCATTAAAGAAATCACTGCCATAGATTACACGGAATATGAAAGAATAGCTTTTAAATATTTTATAAAATGATGCATTCAAAAACGTATAGCGACGATTGATTCGAATATTAAAAAGAAACTAAATTTAACTTAAATGTAAAATACTGGTAGTTATCGTTTTTCATTTTATTTTTATCTATACTAATTATATATCATTTAGTAATAGAAACAGAATAATTTACTTAAAAACAAACAAGTAAGTTTATTAGGCATGACAAGTTAAAATATAATCTATTTTAACCCATGGAAACAGCATTTCTGATCTCTGTAGCAACACTGAAATTTTCTCATATCAAATCTGTAAAAAATATATCAAGCATCGTGATCAATGCTATTGCTAATTGAAGGACCCATATGCGTATACAATACCGAAACTTTTAATTTCTTTCGCATCTAATTCAAGCTGTTTCAACAGCTTTCTCACAAAAAAAAGTCAGAGTTACAGTATTAGAAGCTGTTTTTATTACACGTAAAAATTCGTTTAAATATGCATTGCAGATCAGTTTTAACTTAATTCCTTATTTTAAATTTTTTTTTATTTATTATGAATAATTGACAATCTTCCTAACAATGAAGTGCCAAAGTACTAAGAACGCTTTCCAAACATCAAGTATTAAACTTATTCGTGATCAGCATTAAAAATTTAGCACTGAAACAAAAAAAAATAAACTTTTTAAGTTTTCCATTTTCAGAATTAAGACTTTATTGTCGTTTCAAAAAGTTAAAATCAATGATATATTCAAGAAAATCATGCAAATATCAACGAAATTATGAGTAGAGATTATTGAGTATTAATAACGAAATAATAAATAGTAAATTTATCATTTATCTTATATACCATCAATAGGTGTAGCTTTGGCCTACGAAACATAAAAAAAGAATGTATGTGCTACATCTAGAAAGTGATTACCACTTATTTGTTGCACGGGCTGTCTCATTGAACACATTGATCTTTTGCCCCAAGGAGCATGTTCATTCCTTTTCGTTTGTTGGGTCAAAGTTGCCTACGAAGACCAAAGTTACCCCCATTTGATGGCAGTTTTCGTTTAAAAATGGAAATAACGCAAATATTAAAATACTTTATATTTTTCAATTTAAAGATAATATTTCTCAATAAAAATATGCAAAAAATTATAAATACTATTGAAATAATTCTGCATGTGAATGATTTTCGCTAAGATATTTTTAAAATAATGATAGTTAACAATGTCTCAAAGGAGTAATACTTAGTTTCAGGCATGGAGTGAAACTTCTTGGAATATGCTTTGTTTAGTTCGTTTTTAATTTTTTTGTAATTGTCTGCTTTTGCAATGATGATTTCGCAATTGTTCTGAAACCCGAAGGTTTAGTCAGCATAACAATAGATAGCTATTTACTTAATTTTATAATCATTAAATGTTTTTATAAAGCAAATATTGAAAATTCTCATTAATCAGTTAAACAAGTTTATTTAATTGAAATTAACAGCTTTACAATTATTTTATACCAAATTCATAAATAAACAAATTAATGGCGAAATGCAAAAATGTTCCTGTAAAAATGTAGAAATTGTGATTTCTAAAAGTCAGAATTTCGAAACAATCTAAGGAGTAGTAAGTGAAGACTTTGGAAGAATAACATGTTAAGTAAAATTTTTAAAGAACTCGTAATTTTGAGTATGAGAGCATATTAATATAGTCCGCTGTATGCGCAAATCAGTAGCTGTCCTCATAAGAAAAGAAAAACAGTATCTCTACAAATATTTATTTCGAAATAATGCAGATTTTGGTAAACAGACCTGAGCATCCATGAAAATATGAATATATTCTCGATTTCTTTAATTGTGTTGTAAAACTATGCAACAAGTATGAGGAACCCAATAAAGGAGAAAACTAAAAATAAAAAAAAACTGGGGACACGGCTATCTTACTTAAAACGGAGAAATTTATTTTCAGTCTTCAACTAAGTCTATAATTAAAGGGAAAATATACTTTATAAACTGCGTTTTCTGGTATATTTACGCATTTTAAATCTAATTTCTAATGTATATTAGAATTTAAATCTGAAATCTGATCAAATTCAAAAAATTTTCATTCTTTCACTTAACTCTTCAACAGGAAAGTATGTATTACGTTACTTCTACATTCCTATCATTCTAAAGTGTTCCGTCCTTCACAGCGAGTCATTTTTGTGATAACATTCACTTTTATTGCTATTTTCTGAGATTCATGCATTACTGTGGTATATTTTATTCATTCATGTTGATTGGGAGCAATTTCCCAAGCTTTATAGCTTGAAGCTTCTGCAAATGAATTAAATGTGATAAAAACTGTTCGTTCAGATGTAGGCGGTAGACTTGAGCTTAAGAAAAAAGCATTTATATTCCCCTACTTCTGTGGTATTTAATGACTGTGATGAAATGTTTTCTGTCCACGCCATGTGTGTCTATTGGGTACAGATTCAACGTTTGTGTTATAATTGTAATAAAAAAGTTAATAAAATAAGTTCTGTAAAAAAATTTGTTCTCTATTTCTACTTACAATTGGAGCAGGTAAGGAATTCCAGCATGATTTTTTTAGACTGCTAAATGAATTTCCTATTTTTAATATACTACTTACTTATTTTTCACGGAACATAAATAATGAACACGCTTTTTGTAATTCTTATTTAGCAGAAAGAACTTATTTCCATTCATTTTAATCCCAAAAATAAATCGATTTCTTTTTAATTGGTAAGAAAAAGTCATGGGATTAAATTTTTAAAATAAGAAAAATGATGCAGGTAGTTATACAGATTTTGTTTATGCAAAAAGTTTAAAATAACTCACAACATACTCTACTCTAGTAAATTCGAAAGTTGATTTTAAACTATAAGAGAAATAAGTTGTGAAATATTCGTTATAGAATATTTTTTGGCTTAGTTCAAATTAATGTTATAAAATTACTAAAAGCTAAAAAAAAATTCTTATATTGAAGGCACATTTTCAAAACAAATAATTCTTTTTTAAGTTTCAGAGATAAAGCTCCTAAGATATAAGAGTGGTTTTTGCAAAATTGACATATAATTATCCAACGGAAGAAACAATGGAACTTTTATCAATGTCATTTTAACTCTAGTAATACAACATTGAAAATATTTAAAACTAATAACTTTTCAAAGGAGAGGCAATTTTAAAATTTCTAATTTTCTATAAAGAAGAATCAGACACACAATCATATTAACACTAAAAACTAGTTTTATTTTAACGTCCAGCTTGAGGGTAATTTCAACGAATTTTTGAATGTATAAAAATATTTTTAGTAAAATACAGTGTCAAAGGTACTTGTTAAAAAGTATTGCTATACGTTAGCACTTTTTATCTGTATATTTTTATTTATAATTTTTCTTACAATAACTGATACACACCGCCGCATAAAATAATAATTTATTGTGACCAATGCGTCTTATTTTAGTAAATAATGATAACAGTATTGATATATTAGAAGAAATATGAAGCTCATTTTTAAAAATATTGGACATCGTGCACTATAATATCATGCAAATTTGTAGAAAGATTTGCAAATTTGTAGATGCCACATTGAATCATATTCTCCCACTAGTTTATCTTTTATTAAACTTGATGGCCCGATATTTTGGTTTTACTAGGACGCATATGTTTCGCTACAGAAAGGATTTGCATCATAATATATCAAAGTAGCGATTCAACAAAAATTTAAATGAATGATTTTCTAAGAATAATTTTTAGAACGAGCAAGCGATTTTTTTAAATACAGCCTTTTTTGAAATCTTTATAAAATTTGAAAATTTAAACTTTTATTCCGAAATAAAATATTTAAACTAAAAGACTACTTGTGTTACATATTAGTTCTTAATTAGTAAGTTGCATAAAATTAGTAAGTTGATTTTATCTTATTCTTTAATGAATATATAAGCATGCATAAAGTTCTCTTATACTTAAACATTAGAAGAGAAGCATTTTAGCATCATGTAAATTATTCATAAGCTGGATAATGCCCGTTGATCGTCTGCTAAAGTTCCACACGAAAAATTTATTATTTAACTCAAACAGCTCGTTGATGATGGCATTCAATATTATGTCATGAGGATGGGATGGCGTGCTATAGCGAATTTTGTTTATCTTTTTTACTTAAGACTCAGGAGAGCAGCACCAATATTAAAATTTTATAGAATGCAATAGTCATCTCTGGAATGTTTTATGAGATTTTTAATGACCTTGTTGAGGTCGGCGTCATGGCAACGCGATCGATACCAGACAGAAAACGGTCATTTTAGTTGTCTCGGACATTTCAAATTCATATTTTTTTATTAAATTGAACCTTTTCATAACTTCCGTATCGTCTGTTATCGATCGTAAGACGGCGTCAAAAGTTTTCAAAAGCCTTGGTCAAAACTTTTTAAATCTCCTTTTCAATAAATATTCGCTCTCACTTGTATTTTGATATTACTTCGAAGAAAATATTTGTATTTTATACACTAGTTGGCTCCGCGGCCTGCTCGCCTTTAGATACCCGTAATTGCTCATCCCTTATAATTGTTTTTTTTTTTTTCAAATCTATATTTTTCCAAAAATAATTAATTTGACAAAAAGTATATGACTTAGTCCTAGTGGAGTCGACCAATGACCACTGCTGTCATGTCACAGATTTTCGTGAAAATTTTTTTAGAAACGGTCTGGCTAAAAAAAATTACTAAAACAATTTTTTGAGAATATTATTTTAAGAATATATATAATAAATATTTTAAGAATTTTTTATAGCGTGAAAACAAAGCGTCTTAACCTCAATATTTTTTTTCTCGCAATGTTAAGCGTAATTTTCTCAGTAGAAAAAAAAATCAAGAGGGTGACTTTCTGTCTTTGATCAGTAAAAAAAAATAAAAAGGTATTTTTAAAAGTTTTTCATTTTTTACAGCACAAAAACAAAGTTTTTTGAACTCAATTTATTTTATAAAAACATAAAATATCTTGTTTTTCAAAATAAAAAAAGATTAAGAGAATGTTGTTTTTTTATAGTTTAGTCAGTAAAAAAATAAAAATGGCTTTTAGCAAAAAGAAAAAAACAATCGCACTAGGAGGCTCGTCTCACTCCGTGGTTGCCCCTCATTCATCATTTGTACCTTAAAAATCGATTAAAAATCATTTTGTTTATAAAACATATAGTTATTATTATAACCTTATGTAGGCACATTTTGTTAACATGCTAATCGTAAAGATATGAAAGTATACCTGTATTTGAAAAATAATCAACTGTACTTGAAAATATGTAAAGTTTAAAAATTTATTTATTCTATTTTTAAATTATATTTATTGATTTCTTTTTATTACTTTTGACATCAAGTCTTGAACGAGCTTATAAAATGACGATTGCGAGTGAATTAAATTTATTTACAAAAAAGGATAAATACTTAAAATTTGAAGCAAAAGAAGTTTTAAAAAATTCGCGAGACTTAACTTTCAAACTAATTGAAATTTCTGTTAAGTTCAAACATGGTTAAATTTCCCAGTCTGCATCCATCTTGCGGCCTGAACGGTTGCCCAAATGGTGTTTTTTGTTGAAAGTTTAGCAATGATGGAAGAATAATTCTCGAGCTAATTATCGATTGTTGAGTTTTTATATTTTATCGCACTATTTGTACATTTTTCTACACACCTTTGTATATTCAAGTATGTATTATAATTTTAACGCAGCAAAACGAAATGTAACATTAAGCTGAACATCCAAAATAGTGACAGAGGCTCTAAAAAATTTGTAATATAGAGAGACAAAAATGTTTGAGAGTTTCTTGTTCTCAATTGTTTTCATGTAAAGTTAAATATATTGTACCAAGCACAGGGGTTCGTTTCGATTGGAGATGAACAAAACAGTACTTAAGACTCCAAAAATGTATTAGCAGTATCTTCCAGAAAATACAGCTGATTCTAGAAATCAATTACAGCTCAAATAATAGGGTAGTACACAACAAATACAGGCTTTGAAACCTCAGACTCAATAAACTCACTAGAGCAGTGATTCTCAACCACTATGCCGCTGCACTTTTGTGTGCCGCCAAATATTAGAAATGATACAATAAAAATTAATTATAATGCTCTTTTCATTATGAGTAAAGTTTAAATTAAAGAAAAGTGTATAGATATNGTTTAACGAGGACCAATACCGCAGACCCTCGGTCCCTACGCAGACTGATCCAAGTGGTCACCCACCCGCACACTGACTGTAGCCAGTGATGCTTGACTTCGGTGATCTGCTGGGAACCGTGTCTCAACGATCAGTCCACTGCGGGACAAGAATTTTTTGTAACATAAGAACAAGCGTCTGCTTAACCTCAATTTTTATTTCTCACAATGTTAAGTGTAATTTTTTCAAAAGAAAAATAATCAAGAGGGTATTTTTCTGTCTTTGATCAGTACAAAAAAACGAAAGGTATTTTTAAAAATTTTTTATTTTTTACAGCCCAAAAACAAAGTTTTTTGAACTCAATATATTTTATCAAAATATAAAATATCGTATTTTTCAAAATAAGAAAGATTAAGAAAATGTTGTTTTTTTAATTTAGTCAGTAAAAAAAAAAGGCTTTTTTTAGCAAAAAGAAAAAAATAATCGCACTAGGAAGCTCGGCTCACTCCGTGGTTGCCCCTCATTCATCATTTGTTCCTTAAAAGTCGATTAAAAATCATTTTGTTTATAAAATATATAGTTATTATTATAACCTTATGTAGGCACATTTTGTTAACATGTTAATCGTATAGATATGAAAGTATACCTGGATTTGAAAAATAATCAATTGAAAGCATGTTTAAGTTTAGAAATTTATTTATTCTATTTTTTTATTATATTTATTCAATTTTTTTTTCATTACTTTTGACACCAAGTCATGAACGAGCTTATAAAATGGCGATTGCGAGAGAATTAAATTTCTCTACAAAAAATGATAAATACTTAGTATTTGAAGCAAAAAAAGTTTTAAAAAATTCGTGAGACTCAACTTTCAAGCAAATTGGAATTTCTGTTAAATTCAAACATTGTTAAATTCCCCAGTCTGTAGTTGCCATCCTGAGGCCTGAACGGTTGCCCAAATGGTGTTTTTTGTCGAAAGTTTAGCAGTTATGGATGAATAATTCTCGATCTAACTATCGAATGTTAAGTTTTTTATATTTTATCACGTTATTTGTACATTTTTCTACACATTTTTGTATATTCAGTATAATAATTTTAACGCAGCAAAACGAAATGTAACATTAAGCTTAACATCCAAAACAGTGACAGAGGCTCTTAAAAATTTGTATTATGGAGAGACAAAAACAAAGTTTTTTGTTCTCAATTGTTTTCAATATAAAGTTAAATATATTGTACCGAGCACAGGGGTTCGTTTCGATTGGAGATGAACAAAACAGTACTTAAGACTCCAAAAATGTATTAGCAGTATCTTCCAGAAAATGCAGTTGATTCTAGAAATCAATTACAGCTCAAATAATAGTGTAGTACACAACAAACACAGGCT